GCAGGGAGTGCGGGTAAAGGTGAGGGGGGGAGGGAGTGATTGGTCTCCACCCACCCCATGCTTGATAATAAAAAAAATTGTTATCGAATCTTAAAAGTATTAAAATTGTGCGGCTATTTAGGGTCATGTTATCACCCATCAAGGCCGGAACGGCACACGAGGGGGTGGAGCCTGCTGTTGATTTATTTATTTATCCCCACAGCGAGCAGTGCACCACTCTGTGCAGAAAACGTTGCGTGTCCAGCGAGGAGTCTTCCTTCGCAACTTAAACAAAAAAAAAACTGATCGCGAGTTTGTTCACGAGGTAGACTTTTTAATCGCAGCATCGCTATCGGCTTGTCGAAGGCCTTCATCCAGCAGTGGATCGACCACGGCCGATGATCGTGATTTGGGCCGACGTGTGCAGTTAACGTTGACCTGGCCGAGGACATAAAGTCGCTATGCCTTGAGAGACCCAGTTCGACCACTGCTCACGGCGGCTGAAACCCGGAGAGGAACCGGCCAGCGCATTCATCGTCGCCGGCTCAGCGACTGTGGGACACGAGCATGACGAACCAAGCTCCCTTGCGCCGAGAGTCAACATGTTGTTGTGGGCGATGGCGTCTTCGGGGCGAGGCCACCACTCGATCCACGCCCTCCCTCTCCTCCTCCTCCCCTCTTCTACCCCAGGGCAGTTGCATCACTGCGTCGGCATGTGGAAAGTAGCCACCACCCCTACCCCACCCCCTACTACCCCTGACCCCCCCCCCACCGCGTTCCTCCTCCGAGCTGACCCCCGGCTCGAGGAGCGAGCGGAAACCACCCCCATCCTGCCCCTCCCTGGGCCCCCACCCCCCACCCTTCCCCCCATCCCAGTGGGGGGCCACGCGGTGACCCTTCCAGCGAGGGCCCCCGCGGCTTCCTGTTGGGAGTCGAGACCCCCACCCGCGTGCTCTTGGACATCGCGTGCACTGTTCGCACCTGTGCACAAATAACAAAGACAAAGATCCCCCGTATAGCCTCAACAGACTGTTGGGGCAAGTGCTGTTAGCGAGCAGCACCTATGAAGACCGCCTTTGTCTCCCGAGTGGCGATGTTTACATACCGCATTCGGGACTCATTTGAGGCTCAGGACCGGTTCAGATAATCGTCACTGGTGTTGGCCGTGATCGGGAATCGAACTCGGGTAACCGGTTCGGTAGCTCAGCGCGCTAACCGCTACACGACCGCTCCGTGCACGCATACAGAGACACGTACGAGCATACAGAGACACGTACGAGCATACATGGTCACGCTCCTTCACCCTCGCTGAGTCTCATGGCACCGTTTACAGGAGGATCCTACACCAAGGCTTCGCGGTCGGGGGCGATGTTGCTGCTGTTGCTGCTGTTGCCGCTGTTGCCGTGTGTTCCACACTGAGTGCTTCGCAGGTGATTTGTTAGCATTGGGGGATGTCTTTGGGCCGGTATCGGTTCCACTGCGTGCGCGTTCGGAGGAAACCGGTGCAGAAGAGAGGCAGAACAAACAGAACGGCCACCGAGACCTTCCTGCTGTTTCACCACGATGCTACCGCCCGCCAACACACACACACAATACATGTGCATATATGAGTATGCATCGGTGCTACTCGCTAACAGCACTTGCCCCAACAGTCTGTTAAATGCCATTCTGGGAATCTTTGCATTTTTATACAGTGTGCATGAGTATATTAGTATGCATAGGTGTGTGGGCAGGGTGTGTGGGCATGGGTGTGTGGGGAGGGTGTGTGGGCAGGGTGTGTGGGCAGGGTGTGTGGGGAGGGGTGTGTGAGCAGGGTGTGTGGGCAGGGTGTGTGGGCAGGGTGTGTGGGCAGGGGTGTGTAGGCAAGGGTGGTGAGGAATTGCCCAGCTGCCCACTCACCCGGCGACTCGAGTTCGATTACCGCCCACGACCAACACCAGTAACGATTATTTGAACCGGTCCTGGGCTACCCCTAGATCGACTCGGCCCCAATCAGTTACCTAGTGCAAGTGTGTGAACATCAGTGCTGGGGAGATTAAGGTTGCCAAGCGTGGTGCTGACCAGACACCACCTCGTGTGCCGTTCCGGCCTTAATAGTTCCTCGTAAACAGCACTTACCCCAAAAGTCTGTTCGAGGCTATATGGGGGATATTTGTCTGCCTTTGTGTGTATCATTGTGAGTGTGTGTATGATTGTGAGTGTGTGTATCATTGTGAGTGAGTGTGTGTGTATGATTGTGAGTGTGTGTATGATTGTGAGTGTGTGTATCATTGTGAGTGTGTGTATGACTGTGAGTGTGTGTATGATTGTGAGTGTGTGTATCATTGTGAGTATGTGTATGTGTGTATGATTGTGAGTGTGTATGATTGTGTGTGTGTGTATGATTGTGAGTGAATGTATGATTGTGAGTGTGTGTATGATTGTGAGTGTGTGTATGATTGTGTGTGTGTATGGTTGTGAGTGAGTGTGTGTATGATTGTGAGTGTGTGTATGATTACGAGTGTGTGTATGATTGTTGAGTGAGTGTGTGTATGATTGTGAGTGAGTGTGTGTATGATTGTGAGTGTGTGTATGATTGTGAGTGAGTGTGTGTATGATTGTGAGTGTGTATATGATTGTGAGTGAGTGTATGATTGTGAGTGTGTGTGTGTATGATTGTGTGTGTATGATTGTGAGTGTGTGTGTGTATGATTGTGAGTGAGTGTATGATTGTGTGTGTGTGTATGATTGTGAGTGAGTGAGTGTATGATTGTGTGTGTGTATGATTGTGAGTGAGTGTGTGTATGATTGTGAGTGAGTGTGTATGGTTGTGAGTGAGTGTGTGATTGTGAGTGAGTGTATGATTGTGAGTGTGTGTATGATTGTGTGTGTGTATGATTGTGAGTGAGTGTATGATTGTGAGTGTGTGTATGATTGTGAGTGAGTGTGTGTATGACTGTGAGTGAGTGTATAATTGTGTATGTGTATGATTGTGAGTGAGTGTATGATTGTGAGTGAGTGTATGATTGTGAGTGAGTGTGTGTATGATTGTGAGTGAGTGAGTGTATGATTGTGTGTGTGTATGATTGTGAGTGAGTGTATGATTGTGAGTGAGTGAGTGTATGATTGTGTGTGTGTATGGTTGTGAGTGAGTGAGTGTATGATTGTGAGTGTGTGTATGATTGTGTGTGTGTATGATTGTGAGTGTGTGTATGATTGTGAGTGAGTGTGTGTATGATTGTGAATGAGTGTGTGTATGATTGTGAGTGTGTGTATGATTGTCAGTGTTTGTATGATTGTGAGTGTGTGTATGATTGTGTGTGTGTATGATTGTGAGTGAGTGTGTGATTGTGAGTGTGTATGATTGTGAGTGTGTATGATTGTGAGTGAGTGTGTGTATGATTGTGAGTGAGTGTATGATTGTGAGTGGTGTGTGTATGATTGTGTGTGTGTATGATTGTGTGTGTGTATGATTGTGAGTGAGTTAGTGTATGATTGTGAGTGTGTGTATGATTGTGAGTGAGTGTATGATTGTGAGTAATTGTGTGATTGTAAGTGTGTGATTGTGAGTGTGTGTATGATTGTGAGTGTGTGTATGATTGTGAGTGAGTGTGTGTATAATAGTGAGTGAGTGTATGATTGTGAGTGTGTATGATTGTGAGTGAGTGTGTGTATGACTGTGAGTGAGTGTATGATTGTGAGTGTGTGTATGATTGTGAGTGTGTGTATGATTGTGAGTGTGTGTATGATTGTGTGTGTGTATGATTGTGTGTGTGTGATTGTGAGTGAGTGTGTGTATGCTTGTGTGTGTGTATGATTGTGAGTATGTGTATGATTGTGAGTGAGTGTGTGTATGATTGTGTGTGTGTATGATTGTGAGTATGTGTATGATTGTGTGTGTGTGTATGATTGTGTGTGTGTATGATTGTGAGTATGTGTATGATTGTGTGTGTGTGTATGATTGTGAGTGAGTGTGTGATTGTGAGTGTTTACGTGGTCCGGTCAGGTTGATGCTGGACAGCTCTCGGGCGCTATATTCGTGCACTGTACTGTAACGGTATATCGGGGGGGGGGGGGGGGATGAGGGGGGGGCTGGCGTGTTGGGAGGGGGGGGCTGCTGTTTAGCTATGCGACAATTATAGCCACGTGCACTTAGCTCCAACGAGACTCCGGCTCGCGTCCAGATATCCCGTCTCGCTGGAACAACCACACCCCCCCCACACACCCTGTCCCACCCCCCACACACCCTGTCCCACCCCCCCACACACCCTGTCCCACCCCCACTCCCCCCCACACCCCCCCCACACACCCTGCCCCCCCCCCCACCCTGTCTCTCCCCCCCACACACCCTGTCTCCCCCCCCACGCCTCTCTCCCACTTCCCTCCCCACGCCACACGCGACGGCGCAGCGCGCCCTCCCCCTCCTAACCACCACGACCCCACCCCCCCTCCTTCCCTCTCGGCTCCGCACAGCCTCCCCCACTCGAACTCCTCCACTCTCTTGCTCGTCTTGCTCCTTCCAAGCACGCGGAGTCGAGTTTTGACGGGGGGAGGTGGGGGGCGATCTCTCTGCCCCCCATTATGTTTCTAGCTACCCCCCGCCCCCCCGCCCCCATTGCGATGGGGGAATTACCTCCCTACCCCCAATCGCCTCTCCCTACCCCCATCGCCTTCCCTTATCCCCATCGCCTCTCCTCCTCACCCTCCATGGCCTCTCCCATCCCCACCCAGCCCAGATCCTCCCACCTCCCCTCCTCCCCCACCCCCACCGCCGCCCCTCCCCCGACCGCCCGCTGCCCCCCAATGCGCCGCGCAGGCATGCGTGGGGTGAGCTGGTGGGTGGGTGGGTGCATGCGTGGGGTGAGCTGGTGGGTGGGGGGTGGATGAGTGGGGCAAGAGACCCGGCATATACCGTCGTCTGGGTGTGTTTAGAAGACGCGGCCCCTCCCCGGCACTCACGCACGCACACGACACACACGCCCTGGGCGTGACCACGTGACGTCTCCTCCCACGAACAAACGCAGCCCCGCGCTGTCCCAACCCTCACATCCTCGGAGGGGCTCGGTGGGAGACGCCGTGTCGCTCGCTCGCTCGCCCGCCCGCCCAGCGGCACGGAGACGCGGTGGAGGAGGACACAGGGGCCGAGACACGCGAGAAGGAGGGGGAAGACCTCGAGCGACTTGCACCACAGCCGCCCACGAGAGAGAAGACGCTCGGACAGGAGTCTGGAGCGTCGCGCGCGGCGATTAGGTGAGTGGTGCTGGGTGGTGCGTGAGTGGCGCGTGAGTGGTGGTGGTGGTTCCGTGTCGGCTCCGTGAGTGCGTGTGACAGACGAGAGTGTGAGGGCGCGCGCGTGGGAGCGATGGGCACCCGGCGTTTGGAGTTGAACCGGGCGCGCAAACACCTCGAGGCGAGAGCGATGCAGAGATTGGTCATGGAAACGAACGACGGTGGCTCGACAGCTGATTGCGTTAGAGAGGGATGATCGACTCTACACGGATGCTCTCGCTCCAAACATTAGTCACGCAAGTGAGCATCACTCTCGGGAGGTGATCGTCACGCTGCAGACGTGCGCGCGCTTCTCACCGATGATCCCTGCAGTGGGACCGATCCCTCAGGAAGGATGATCGCTGCTTAGTGATCACTATCGATGGATGATCAATAAGAGGGTGTGATCGCTGGAGTTTAGGGTTGTTCGCTGGTCACCGTCACTGTTGGCAAGAGGGCAGCGTGACCCGGCGCGTCCTCTCGGGGGGTCAAGGGGGTACATCGGGGGACCCCCGTTGATGCGGCTGCTCCCGATGCGAAACCCCCGGCGACTCCCAATCCGAACCCCCATAACTCCGAACATCTCGGCACGTGTAAAGGTCTCGCCGTCGCAGTTCGACTCCCGACTCGTGCGGCTCCGCGCTCACGTGGCTGCTGTGATGTGCCGGCGTTCGGCGGTGCCGCTCGCCAACAGCACTCGCCCCAACAGTCGGTTGAAGGCTACACGGGGAATCTTTGTCTTTGGTGGTGGTGGTGGTGGTTATGGTGATGTTGAGCGCCCGGCACTCACGCACGGCTGGGGGCACCCTGCGTGTCCCTGCGTCTGTGTGCGCGAACCTGAACGAGCGGGTCACGCCGACCTCGCAGTGAGCCCCGTTCATTGTCACGCAGCTGCAGCTTATGGGAGCGCAGTGGTTGGCTCGGTCCGCTACGATCCTGCTACGAATCGATAACCCGGCTACGGCTGCACATCAGTGGCGGCGTGATATCGGAAGCTGTCGATTCAGCCTTCATGTATATTGGACTTCTTTCGCGCCGTACGTAGCCAACCGTGCTAATCGGTGAGCTACGAAATTAGTATTTGGTGCGTAAAGAGCAGCACTGGGCAGACGCGAGCTTGCTGGTAGCTGGCCTCACCAGCCCATTCGTGTGCTGTGCTGGACTTAATAGGTGCTCGCTAACAACCCCCCCCCCCACCCCCCAACAGCGTTAGAGGCTACTCGGGAACTTTTTATTTGTGTGCGAATTAGAATATTACCTCGACAATCGCTGCTATGGAACACAACAACACCACGTTAGTAAGTGATGGAGTAAGGGGACAACTCGTATTTGAACCGGAGAAGATCAATATTTAATTTTGAACTACTGCTGCTTAAACCAGAAACTTACATCGCGGCTTAAAACTGCCCCAAAGACAAACATCTCGACTAAAGCCTTAATAAGTGCTGGTTGCGATTACCAATGAAGGCCAGTACGGCACAGGCTCGGCCGCCTTTGTCTCCCTCGTGGCCAGGTTTACACATTGAGGCTGAGTCGACCTAGGGGAGGTCCAGGACCTGCTAGTGGCCGCGCGCACACCACACACACCACCACACACGCCACACACACCACACACCACACACATACACCACACACACCACACACCACACACACCACACACACCACACACACCACACACACCACACACACCACACACACCACACACACCACACACACCACACACACCACACACACCACACACACCACACACACCACACACACCACACACACAACACACCCAACACACACCACACAAACCACACACACCACACACACCACACACACCACACAAACCACACACACCACACACCACACACACACACACCACACACCACACACACCACACACCACACACCACACACACCAAACACCACACACCACCACACACCACACACACCACACACACCACACCACACACACCACACACACCACACACACCACACCACACACACACACACCACATACACAAACCACACACACCACACACACAGCACACACACCACACACACACCACACACCACACACCACACACACCACACACACAAACACCACACACCACACACCACACCACACACACCACACACACCACACACATCACACACATCACACACAAACACCACACACACCACATACACCACACACACCACACACACCACACACGTGTTGCTACGGGGATGTGAATGGGGGAGTGACTTATTGTGATCATGGAGGACTCTTGCCAATAAGACCAGGCGACCCATCGGCGTGTGTGTCACACTGGCCGCGTTCTGCCGATGGGGGAAACTCGGCAGGGCCGTAGCCAGCCCGGTGTCTGCCTGTTGATCGAAGCCCACCGTGACACAAGGGTTGTGGTGTCGGGGTGAGAATAATGATGATTCGAGCCGCAGGGTCATCACGGAGGAGGAGGACTGCGCAGTGGCTCCCAGGCAGCAGAAGGCTGCCAGTGGCGACGCGAAGCTGCTGTGTCATTTATTCTTCTGGACTCAATCAAGCAACACGTTATTTTACGTTATACGCGGCGTGGAGGATCTGTTATTACATCCTGTATCCTATCGGCAGCTTGTCCTCCTGCTGCACTCTGCGATGTAAATTGGCATGTGGTCGCGTCTCTTTCCCCAACGAGTCTTCATGAATTCTACCGCGATCCCCTTTGCACAATCTAAGGGCAAAAAAATCCCTTTTTGGTCCTTAGGCTGGGGTGAGGCTTTTAGCGAGCACCTATTAAAGGCTGGCGGACAAGGTGGACGGTTATGGTCGTAGCCTGATCACGGTGGCGTGTGTAACTTTACGCGCCACGCCGTGAAAGATCGAGTCACACCTCATGGGGGGGGGGGCATTCAGGACAGGTTCAATGAAGTTGCCCTTGGACAGGAATCGGTCGCGTAACTAGCGTGGGGGGGCAGGGGTGCCTTGCCCCCCATCCCCTTGACACCAAACATGCGATTTGTTTTAAAAAATATTGGGGCTCCACTTGATCGATTTCCGCACCCCCTGAGCTGATCATGTCGTTGCCATGCCACGGACGGGAATCGAACCTAGGTTTGGCGAATTGGCGAACCACCACCACTGCTCTTATTAATACAAAGACCGCTTGTGTAGCTTACATGGACTGTGGAGCCAAGGGCTTTTTGTCGCGAATGCCTATTAAGGATGGACACTGCGAACAATTGGGTGATGCGGCCAGAAACCACGCCAAGCCGCCTTTGTCTCCCCAGTATCGATGTTTGCACACGGCCTAGGGGGGCCCAGAACCGTCCCAGGTCACTGGCCACTGTGAGGTCAACCAGGAGCCGGGAATGGAACCCAGCTGACTCGCTACTCCACCGCTATTCAGACACACACAAGACAAAGATTCCCCGTATAGCCTTAACAGACTGTTGGGACAAGTGCGAACACCTATGGAGGCCAGAACTGCACACGAGGGGGGTTTCTCCCCAGTGGGGATGTTTAAACACCGCACCAGGTACTCATTTGAGACTGAGTCGACCTAGGGGAGGCCCATGACCGGTTCAGATAATCATCACTGGTGTTGGCTGTGGCCAGGCTCGTAGCGCAGCGCCCTCACCGCTACACTACCGCTCCTCACACACACACACACATAGGTATACACACAGGTACACACACAGGTACATACACAGCTACACACACGCTACATACATATTGAGATACGCACGCAGAGGGACGATGCAATGGGGAGCTTTGTTCCGTCCCCATGGAGAATAATGAGACCCGCCCGATCTAATTTCGCCACGCCCTTCAATTACAATAGCGGATTGAATAGTTACGGGGGGAGGGCAGTCTCTGCTTTGTGTGAGACGGAGAGCTCTCGCCTTCACAATGCTAATTAGGGCTCCTGCAGCAGCAGCAGTTTATCTCCATATTAAAGACCCCCCCCCCTCTTCCCGCATTCCCTCATTAACAACTCCCCCACCACCCACCGCTCCCTCCCACCACTTCAACCACCACCACCTCCGCCTCTTCCTTTCAATTGTACCTACGATTTGCATTGATCAAACACATTGTTGGGCTGCTCCGTCTCAGCGCCTTTTGCGTTTGGGGTGGATAAAACAGATCACACGTTGTGCGGAAGTCACAACAGCGGTTATCCGATGCGGAGATTCGCCCCCGCCATAGGAATGTGGAATTTCCTCCATTGGCTCTGCAGCAGGGCTGTGAACAGGAGATGAGCTCCAATGCCTCAATGCTCATGTTGGCAGGAAATAACTTAAATAAATAATCTTGACCGGCATATCCTGTGCGATGCTGCAGCTCGTTTCGATGCGCGGGAGGCCAGGGCGTCACGTGACGCAAACGCACAGTACAAGGCGCGTTGTCCTTTTGTGAATCCACTGCTAGATGACGACCTCGCGCCATGCGGCTTGTGCGAGGAGGTGGGGGGGGGGGGGTAGCATAGAAGTACGGTACAACAATGTAGTCCACTGACCACCACGTGGGACAACTAGGAAGCATGCCACAACAAAGCTGTGAGTGAGTCTCAAGAATTGCATTTGAGGGTCCTGCCACATTGGAATATTTTGATAATTCCCCATTACAACATTAGAGGATACAAAGGTCCACACAGCTGGGTTAACAAACCCACTTGCTGTACTGCCATCTCGCAGGTGAGCGAGTTCTTTCGGGAAGCCTCACATAAATCTAAGCGTGATCCACCAACCCTCTTCCTATATGTTCACTCCAGGCGTGCGTACCAGCACGCCCGCAACGCGTAAAGGTCCTTACAGACGGGTCAACAAACCCACTGTTTGGGCAGACCACCATCGCGGAGCTGGCGAGATTCTTCAGGGAAGCCTCGGTCACGGCTGGCAATCTCTTGTCTGCGTGATCCACCTACCCACATCATATGCCCACTCCCAAGGCTGGCACCGGCGCGGGGTTCCCACGGCTCCCGCCGCTCGTTGTTTATTGATTGGGCCCTTCATTGC